TCGGAAAACCTTCAATATCTTTATATATGAAATTCTAATATAAAATTACACGAATCAATAACGATTCTTTCGTTTTACTCTCAAACTGAAGGAATTTGTTAACGATAGAAAACAGTCTTGCGGGTACAATCCTTAAATTCTGAAGAAACTGTAAGTTAATAATTCCTTGGTTTAGTCAACATTCATACGAGACAATAAATAGACTAGGGAGAACCGGCGCAGTCGTTAATACAAGTTAAGAAAGATTTATCGGAGGTTACCAGCAACTTTTGATATTATAGCGTTAATACTCATCATGAAGATCGGCTACCATCGGAGAAACCACATAAAGCGGCTTGACCAGCCGACCTGGAAACCTATTAGGGCATCCCAATGTTTCGCCTTACAGGCTTACTTCATCGCCACAATCGTATCAGGGGACACACCTTCGGCCGAAATCCTAAGCTATTAGCCGGGATTTCTCTTTCCTCCAATTTAAATGATTTATTTCGCGGCGAGCCGACCTATCTCCGACCAAATACCATCCTAGCCCTCTAACATTTTCAGAGAATGCCAGCACTGGCGATATTTCGCCCTGTCGTTGCTGGCCCTTCTACAATTACCTTTCTTCCTTCCTCCCTCCCTTTCTTCCTTCCTTCGATAAAGATCAAATTGAATTGGTAAATTGATAGAGTTTTGTTTACACCCAGGCTCGCAAAAGTATTCGGATATTGGGAAATGCCGATTATGAATATATTATGTGTATTATACAAAACGTTTTGAAATGTAATTGGTATTGTAAGGAAACCTAATTGTCGCAATTTTATTGATGGAGCATGGAACAAATCTAAATACGTGCATCTGTACATAGAAGCTACAAGATATTCAATGCAAGTATACATTTCGCAGAGGTCACAAAAATATTTAAGCTCGGAATAACTTTTTGGCAAAAAGAGATTCAATCCGTTGTTCCTGGCAATTCGATTGTGGAAACGCGCGTTTATTGCCTCGGTGTATGTACATCTTTATTCACGTTTTTTGGATATCATCGTACTTTCAGCCTGGCCAATTACAGAATTGGATTTCGTTCAGCTCATTAATCTAAACATCGGACCGAAACGACAGTTCCGCAATCGAGCTAAATGAATATTCGAACGAACAACGGTACGTGTCGAGATATAAAGATTGATTTACAGGTCCCGCAAGTCTGTAGTTGAAACGAAAAAAGTTTTAATTCCCGCCATGGTGTATTAAATAATTCTGTCCGTATCGACGCGATGCCCTCAGCGTCGAAATTGTTCGTACTGCGATAGCTTTCATCGAAACACAGTTATTTTCCCACCTTGAATAGCTTTCGAATACCTCTGAACAGGTTTCCTATTTAAATAGACTCTTCCAAATAAACATTTCCTTTCGAACAGATTTTCCAAACGCTTTTAAAGTGTATCGGTTAATTAATTACGCTTAATTAATGTACAATACGTAAAATGAATCCCAAACCGATTCACGCGATACGTTCATATTGCAGGAAGGTTGTGATTAATTATTTCGTTGATGGAAATTTAATGAATTCTTGGCTGATACGAATTAAAACTTGTTTGTTAATTAAAGCCCGTTTGACCGTGTTTCTGATTCTACAACAAAGGTAATTATTCGAATTGACGTTGTGTTTCGTTAAATTTATATTTTAGTCCATCTTTGTAAACAATTAAATTTAAGTGTATAGCAAACAATACGATTTAAAAACATGGTTGGAAATTTGATTTTTAAATATTTTCTTGAATTTATGTTGTAATATTGGTAGAAGGCAACAATAGATTATTCTACGAGCTGCCAGTGAAGGGAATGTATTTTCCTCTCACTAGGGAATCAAAGGGTTCTCACTTCATTCCATCGTAAACCTACAAGTCCCAAGGGCACGCGAGAAACTGCAGATTTGTTTTCGTGTTATGCACGACGTGGTCTTCACCGAGTTGTGGTTTAGTTTGTAAGGTAATCGATATATGCTATCGTAATACAGTTCAATTTTGATTTTAATCTAATTTGCCCTTTTCGAACTCAGCTTTCTAACTCGATCAACTTCCTGACACCTTGAAAACTTCATCATGCTTTTGCGAGTCTCTCCTCTACAACTAAACAGACTCGATACCACGTTTTATACTTCTATTAACAAGGTACAAGATTTATATAATTTACATTTGCAAATTTAATAAGTAATTATTCATTTGACAGATAGTTTGAGAAATTTATATATCGAATTACTTTTTACACCATCTTCTATTTGAAGATCGTAGGATGGATATGATAATTGTACGCTTTTGTTGATTATTTTTTTTAATCTCGAAAATTTTAATGACGCAATTAAAAATGAAAACATCCTGTTAGATTCAGACGTAAGTTTTTAAAAAATAATTTACAAGTCGCTGAATAATTATCAAAACAAGCAATATTTTGATACTGTAATGTTCGGTATTTTGAAAATTTTGAAGGCAATGAAAAATCATATATTTCGCTTCCAACCCAAATAAAGAAACAATTATGGTAATACGGGATCAAGCGACATACTGAACATACTGAATTTTAATGCTGATTCTTTATGAAAAATAATGTGACTTATGTCCCTGTAATTTCAGATACAAAATTCACATTGCAAAAATAGTTTCAGTTCCACCACCAAAAATTTCATTCTATTACCTGAGTACCTACGTCTCTTCACAACTCTATGAAATCCTCTCTCACCAATTCCAGTGCCTAACCCGATTCATCCCCAATGCATCTGGATCACGATGATATGTTGCAATAACATCGCTGGTCGAAACCTTCTTACGTCGAAAACAGATCGGAAATCCGTTTGACGAAACAAGAGTCTCGCAGACGTCGCTGGTCCACTTTTCCCGACTTATCTTGGAAATATATGTATGATTAAGCAAGTGGTCCGAGACACGAGGAGTACTTTGTAGCCGCTTCTTCCTCAAAATGCAGGAACAAACGTAACCTACTCCGGTCAAAAGAACTGGCCGGCACGGAAAGAGGATGATTGTTAAGACCTAAGCAGCTCACAGAAAGCTGCTTACGATATTCGGAACGATAGACGCGCTACGCCGCGAGTTACCTTCCGCTCCTTTTTAAATGACAGGACCGTCAAGTACGCCAGCATTTCATTATCATAAGTTATGCGGCCTCGACGACGGCTAATGGCCACCACAAAAAGACGAACACCAGGAAATATCTCGTAAGGCGATTGTAACCGGCACAATACATCGGCATGCGATCTCTGTTGCTTTTAACCATCCCGCTTCCGTCCTACGACCATTGCTCTCTCTCTCTCTCTCTCTCTCTCTCTCT